TGTTGACACTGTCTTGGGTCCGCTTAGCCCCATCTCTGCTCCCCCTGCTGACACTGTCTGGGTGCTGACCCCCGCACCCCCAGTGCTGGCTTCCGACTGACTGACACTGTTGGTCCTGCCTTTCCTCAGCCAGAGTCACCGGAAGACCAGTTTGGGCAACAGACGGTCCACTTTATGATCGGGCCCCCAGAGACAAGCCTTGAAACCCCCCCTCTAGCAGCCGTTCCTCCCGTTCCCAAACCGAGAACACTTCAGCCTGGGAAGGGTACCGAGAGGAAGCCGAGCGGGGGCCCGCCAGCACCAGACGGTGCCCCTCCCGTGGCCGCCCCGCCGCCCCCGCTGGAGGTTCCGCCGCCCGCGCCCCAGGCGCCCCCGAGGAGGAAGAAGTCGGCCCCCGCCGCCTTCCACCTGCAGGTGCTGCAGAGCTGCGACCGCCGGCTCCTCGCGGCCCTCCCCTGCAGCGGCAGCGACCGTCCGCCCGCACACCCACCCGCCGGGGGCGCTCTCCTTCCACAAGCCGCTGGCCTCGGCGCTTCATGCGCGGCAAGCCCCGCAGCCCCCGGCGCCGAGCAGCCCAAGTCCGAGGTGGCCTCCCTTCTTGGTGATTTTCAGGATCCCTTCTGGAGCCTTCTCCACCACCCGAGCCTGTTGAAGAATGCCTGGCTCTCCAAGAGCTCCGACCCGCTGGACTCGGGGACCAGGGGCCTGGAAAGAGCGCGCACAGCCCCGCTGCAGGGCTCTGCCTCGGCTGCCCAGGGGCTGCCGCCGGGGCGCGCGCCGGAGGACTTGGATCGCTGCCCGACCGGCGGTGAGCAGGCCGACAGGACGGTGCTGCAGGTGTTTGACCCGCTGGCGAAAACATGAGCAGGAAGCTTGGGCAGCCGCTCTCCTGCAGAAAGTGTGCCTTCTTCCCTCAGGCGTCCCTTCTCAGGGAAAGCCCGGAGCCTCGGCCTCCGCCCGCCCTCACCCCTGCTAAAGAGACCACTATTTAAAGGCGCACTGAAAAAACATTTGGACTTTCCTCACTCGTGTGTACTTCGCAGAAATTGTGTCTCTTATTCAATAAGATGATTATTCAGCCACCAAGACCGGTTTCTTCGTCCACACTCGTGCATTTTAGTTTCCCCTCAGGGGTCGGAGAAACTTCTGGTTAGATTCGATGTGTGGGTTTGAGGACAGGGCATCTGGCTGATAATGTCCAAGAAGTTCTCCTCCGGTTGGATTTTCCGTGGTTGTTTTTTTTTTTCTTTGGTGGTTTTTTTGTTTTGTTTTGTTTTTTCCGATTCATGTGTGTCTGTGGTGTTTTTAAAATGTTGTTTGTGCTTTACAGATTTGGGATAACTTTCTGGCGATCCACCTGAAGGGTGATGTATCAGCTCAAAGGTGGTTGGGACCATTAAGAGCTGTACCTGGCCTGCTGACCCCAGGTTTAAAAAAAAAAAAAAAAATCGGAGTTGAAAGCGGCCAACAGATCAACCAAATGACTAGACGACACACTCCCGTGAGCCCTTGTGTTTCTGTACATGTACAGGAACCTTGATTATGTGGGAGATGGTGTCATGCGCTGTTTGGGCTCCGACGCACATACCATTGGCTTAACCGGAGCTTCAGCTGGCTGAAGACTCCTCCCCATACCGTGTCTCAGCTACTGCATGTCCCATCACGTGCTGCCGTCTTGAGCCCTGGTGCACTAGTTAAACCAGTTTGTGTACGCTGGCTCTTCCCTACTAAAGGAAGCCTCGTCACTTCTTCCCCCCCCCCTTGGGTTCCACGTGGAGGAAAAGCACCAACCGTGCAGACTCAGGCTGGCACATAATATTGGTCCTCGTCGTGACGCTAGGGAGAATATTTCAATTAGCCTGGGCTGCCTGGCTGTGGTTTCGGGAAGGAAAGTACCACCTGTCCCTGTATATGAGAGACCCCAGGGCAGCATTTTTGGGTTTGCTTATCTGTCTGTGTACTAGGTTTGTTTTTTTGTCTGTACATTTGTGACATCTCTTCTTGCCCTAGTCAGTCCTTTAGAAAGACATCACCAGACTATTTTACATTTTCAGAATAATGTTGTAAGGCCTAGAATCCGTTTGGAGCAGATACCATATTTTTGCTAACAAGAAATTCACGGGTGAAATCTTAGTGTGCCACATACCATATTTAGGAGTTTTTAATGTCCTAGAATCATACAGCAGTGACTCTGTATTATCTCTAATGTGACCGGAGAATTGGTTAGGATGGCACTAAATGCTAATGGTAGGATGGCAGTAATCGTCCTGCCTGGGGGGATAAGACTCTCTTTTTGCCTCTGGGATTTCAGAATGACTTCTCACTGCCACTATCAAGGCACCCTGCAGATTATTTAAATCTGGCACTCAACACAAAAACAAAACTACAACATTTATCGCATTTCATTTGAAAACTGGTAAAAGAAGAAGGTCTTAGTGACACACAGGGATAAACAGGTAATATACGTAGTTGACCAGTCTTAAAAAGAAGGTGTTTCTGACCTTAGCTGATTAGGACACTCTCTGTAGAGCGTAAGTACTTTCTTTCCCGTTTACCTCTCTAACAAACACAAGTAAACAACATAATTCTTGAAGAGTTCGGGGGAGAAAGAACAAAAGATGGGTAAATGGTTTGGAGAAGTTAAATAATTTGCCAGGATTCACATTGCTACTAGGAGTACAATTGGGAATGGGATCAAAGATTTCCTCATTCAAATGTACTTTCCTGTCACCTCTTTTTCCCACCAAAAAGGAAGTGAATTTGAAAGCAGATTATGTGTAATGCAACAGTTGCTTGCAAGGCTGGAAATAGGCCTAATTTTCAGGTTTCTTTGTTCTAGATGGAAGTGGCCAATAAATGGGACAGAGAACAGAATTTTAATGAAGAAAGGTGCTCCTCACACAGGTAGCTCTTAATGATCTGACATGAAGTATTAACACAGAATTGTGTTGACCTCAGGAGGCAGGTCACGAGGAAAATTCATAAGTAGTTTAACGTGAAGAATCGAACAAATACTTGATCAGGGGTGTTCAAATTCCGTGAACAACGTAGACTGGATTCTGAGGTGATCCTATGTAAGGTTCACACACCAATGTTCTCTTAAAAAAGACAATTGGAATTGCCTTACTTGGTTTTTAGATCAGGGCTTTAAGAGATGGTAGGTTTCCTAGGTTAGCAGCAGAGTTGGTTAAATATTCTGGACGAGCAACTGCCGGCCTAGGGATTTCTCTTTGTGGGTTTTTTATTTTTGGTTTTTCTGTGCCCCCACACGGGCCTTGAAGTGTCTTTTATTACTGCTCTGTAAGACAGTACAGTTCACCGCGGAGAATTTGAGGCACAGAAATTTACAATTCAACGTTGTCTCTGTGACCCCAATTATATTCCCTTTTCCAACCTAATCTTCTCTGACTTCTTGCCTATTTTTAAAATACGTTCCGGTAAATGACTGAAATTAGGACATCTGCTCAAGCAATTGCTGTAAAAGTTCTAAGTTGTTGACTTTCAAGATAGAATATTCTGGATATGTAGAAGTACAAGCAAAGTAATACATTAAAACATTCGCTTTATAATGAAATAATTTTTATCAGCTGCAAAAATTATTTATTGGGCGACTAGTAATTAAAACCCTGTAATGTTTATTTGAAGTGATAATTTGTACTGCAGTTGTAAAAAATGCCTATTAAATATTTTGTCTTTTTTTTTTAATTTGGTTTGTTTCTTTTTGGATATGGAAGAATGTTGGAATATCTTCTTCATGTTGCCTTGTATTCTGGGTGAAATGTGATTACTAGTTATTCCTCTGAGTTTGGGTTTTGTCTCTTTTATAAATGGTGTGAGGTAGGGGGGCCAGTATCACCTTGCCCAGGGATAGTTACACTATACCATTCATTAAATAACAAACTTGCTCTTGCTTCCTTGAATTAGGTTCCTTAAGGGGTTATTCAGTTTTATTGGCACTTTCAAATAACATTAGGATTTATATAGCCTTTCTATTTTATTTTTTTCTGTTGGTTTTTAAAACATTTTTCATTAACTTTAATTTACATCTTGTTTAATTTTGTTCTTAATTTAAAAGTAGCACTAGATTACATTATCTTTAGACTTTCTCACTTAACACTAAAGATATTTAAAGTTAATATATTTTCCCCTGATTATAACTGCACCCCACACATTTTGGCATGAAATATTCTCCTTTTTGTGACTTTCTAGATTAATTTGCTTTTATCTTCTCTCTCATCCAAGGGAGACTAATTTTCCAGTAGTTAAGGGTTTGACATTTAAAAATTGTTTACTCCTATTTTTTTGGATTATGACCTAAGAATATGGCCTAGATAAACCTACTTTTTAAAATTTATTAAGGTTTGGTCTGTGGTCAAGTGCAAGATTGATTTTTGAAGTGTGTTCATTGATGTGTGTGTGAGAGCGAGCGAGCAAGAGAGAGATTTGATGTATCCTCTGTACCCCAAATGGAACAGGTCTTTTTGTAAGGCAGAACCCAGGGTGGGGGGCGCAGGGGGCGGGTAGAGGATGGGTGCATAGTTCTCCAATGCAACGGCTTCCCACCTCCTCCCATTTTCTTACCAAGATTCCTTGGGTTTTGTTGAATTAATGCTTCTCGGTTTAAGTCTTTGGTCAATCTCTAGACAAATTGCCTTTACTAATTTTGACTAGTTTAATAGATGCCTCTCTGAGGGAGAGATTTCCCTCTGCTCCTCATCCTGCCACTTCGGACCTTCTGCCCCCCACCCCGCACCCCCGCCCCAAGCAGTCTGTTCTGTGCCGCAAGAGATTACTTGTCAATCTCTGAGCTGATACTACGTTGTCTTTTTTTTTTTTTAAAGACTTTATTTATTTATTTGACAGAGAGGGAACACAAGCAGGGGGAGCTGGAGAGGGAGAAGCAGGCTCCCTGCTGAGCAGGGAGCCCAATGTGGGGCTTGATCCCAGGACCCTGAGATCATGACCTGAGCCGAAGGCAGCCGCTTAACCACTGAGCCACCCAGGTGCCCCCCCCCTTCTTTTTTGACTAATTTTTATTAAGTCTTAATTTTCTTTAACTTTGGTATCTGGTAAAACAAGCCCTCCTACCTCATTCTTTTTCTTAAGAGAATCTTGTCTAGACTCTGAAATTGCATATAAATTTTAGAAGCGATTCATCAATCCCATTAAAAAAATAAAACCTATTGGAATTCTTTATTGGGAATGTACAGAATAGAATAGCCATCTTTGCAAGATTCACTCTTCAGTCTAAGACCATAACGTATTTCTTCATTTAAGGATTTCATCATTTCTCGAAGTTTTCAGCATTATTTCTAAATATATATGAAATCAGAGGGAATAGTTTGAACCCTCATATGTTCATCACCAAGATTTAATAGTAGTTAACATTTTGCTGTATTTGCTTTATATTTTTCCTTTAAAATATTTTAAAGGAAGGAATTCTGTTCTCATGACATTTGGCTTCTAAATGCTTCTAATATGTACCTCTAAATAACATTTTTATAACCTTTATACCATAACTATATCTAACAATTCTTACTTTAAAATTCATTTGCTATTTTTTGCTGGTATACTTAAATATGAGGGTTTTTTTTGTGTATGGGCTATATCAATTTTGTTAAACTCAAAATTATAACAATTTACTGTATTTCAGTATACCTAATACACCATCCATGTACCCTATTATACCATACCATTATAAGATATGCCCTATATATATATATATATATATATATATATATATATATATACACTATAATTCTGAAGAAGGTGCTATGGCCTGAATGTTTGTGTGCCACCCCTCCCCCAAATTCATATGTTGAAATCTTAACCTGCAGAGATGATGATTAGGAGGTGAGGCCTTTGGGAGGTGCTTAGGTCATGAGGGAGGAGCCTTCACGAATGTGATTAGAGTTCTTAGAAAAGAGACCTCACCGAGCCCTCTTGCCCTCTGCACATGTGAGGACACAGCAAGACAGTGCCCGTTTATGAGCTAGGAAAAGGGCTTTCACCGGCACATGCCCATGTTAGTGCCGTGATCATGGACATCCAGACTCCAGAATTGTGAGAGATGGATGTTTGTTGTTGAGAGCCACCCAGTCTGGTGTTTCAGTATAGCAGCCCAGACAGACTAACACAGGCTCCCAACTTAATCGTGACTCTTCATTTATTGTGAAATGCAGCCCATTTACAAAGATGTTAAAATAATTTTTAATGTGTCTTTAAATTGATAAAATACGGTCTCTGTAGATTCTCTTGGATTTTCTATGTAGACAAGCATATCCTCTGCAAACAAGTTTTGTTTCTTGCTTTCCCATCCCTGTACCTTTGTATACCTTTTTCTTGCCTTACAGAGCTGGCTAGGACATTCAGTACAATGTTAAATAAAAGTGTTGGTCACAGACATTCTCCTCAAATGGAAAGTGTTAATATTTTTGCCATTAAGTAT